ATTTATTTCTGCTCTAATTTTTATAATTTCAGTTTTTTTTAGAGTGTGTTGGGTTTTCTTGCTGTTCTTTTTCAATTTGCTGGAGATGTTGGGTTAGAGAGTCAATGGTCAATTTTTCCTGCCTTTTGATGTGTTTGCTTATTGCTATAAATTCACCTCTGACTACTCCTTTGGCTGTTTCCCAGAGGTTTTGGTAAGTGGTGTTTTCATTGTCATTTGTTTCAAGAAACTTTTTAGTTTCATTTTTTTATTTCTTCTAGTACTCAGTCATGTTCAAGCAAGGTGTTGTTCAGTTTCCAAATGTATCATTTTTCTTCTCCTTTATCTTCTTGTTATTAATTTCTAATTTTGTAGCATTATGGTCTGAAAAGATGCTTTGTATTATACCTATGTTTCTAAATTTATTGATGTTTGCCTTGTGACCTAGAATGTAATCTTTCTGGAGAACATTCCATGCACATTGGAGAAGAAGGTATACTGTGTTTTTTGGGGAGTGCATTAGCCTATAAATATCTATGAGGTGAAGGTGGTTTATTGTGTGGTTTAATTCTTCAGTATCTTTGTTGAGTTTTTTTCTGGTAGTTCTATCTTTTCTTGAGAGGGGTGTATTGAAGTCTCCACGTAATATAGTAGTGTTGTCTATTTCCTGTTTCAGTTCTGTAAATGTTTGTTTTGTGTATTTTGCAGGTCTTTCATTTGGTGCATAGATATTTATTATTGTTATGTTCTCTTGTTCTAGGCAATGAATTTTTATTTTGATGCTGAAAGCAGGAGACGCTAAACAGAAAATGTTAAAGGTACACTTCATCAAAATTACAAACTTTTGTACATCAAAAGACACCATCAAAAAGTGTAAAACAACACACAGAATGAGAGAAAATATTTTCAAATCATATATTTGAGATTAGTATTCAGAATGTATTAAAAAATTCTTAAAACTCAACAACAGAAAAGATGACCCATTTTAAAAATAGCAAATTAAAATGCACAAATGGTGAAAAGGATATATAAACATTCTCATTATCCTAAGTCACTGTTGATGTGTGTCACTGAATCAGTACAAACTCACAGCTGACCCAGCAGTAATTCAGAGGGAGTAAATCACATGAGAAGAGAGTGCCCATCCTTTTCCCTTGTAGCATCCGGTGTATACGAACTACATGCCTTTAGGTTGGCAGTGCAACTATTTACCACTGGATCACCAAAGCTCCATTATAGGTCACTTATGGAAATGCAGATCCAAACTACACTGACAAAGAAATGAAATAGAAAAAAATATAAAAAGGGAGAAGAAAGTAACAATTGTTGGGAGAAATGTAGCTATACCACTGGAAGCTTTTCCACTGCTGGTGGGAATTTAAAATTATGCAGTTGCTATAAAAATAATATGGCAGTTCCTCAAATAGTTAAGTACAGAATTATCATATGAACCCACAGTACTACAGTACTACTCCTAGGAATTCATCTAAAAGGGTTGAAAGCATGGACTTAAATGATACTTGTAATATGTGTACATATATGTTCTTAGCAATATATACACACTATTCTAAAGATGGAAACATCAAAAATGATCAACAAAGGCTGACGAGATAAACAAAATGTGTTATACTGGCCAAAAGGGAGTAGATGATCAGCATAATGCCACTAGAGAGTGGGAAGACATAGAAGTCCAAAAAAGTATAGTCAATAGCCAACAGCAGATAAATAGGAAAAGTCTACTGATATTAATGGAAATGTGAATTACAGGGGGGAAGAAGATTTTTGACTACTATGGGGGTATTGGGCTTAATATTATGAAATCAAACATGTATGGAAAAAAAATTTGCTCTTTACACTTTCACTCAAATCACAATAAAAATGAAAAAGAACAACAAAAAAAAGAACAAAAAAAACAAAAAAAAATGAAAAAGAACAACTAGAACATTTATTGACTGCAGGCAAGAATAGGAAAAAGTAGAGACATAATGAATAGAAAATTGGCAGCTTCTTATAAAAACAACTTGGTTGCAATTGTTGTATACCATTGAGTCGAAGTAGGTTTTCAGAGATGATAAATCACATGAGATGAGACTGCCCACCTTTCTGCCAAATAGTATCTGTTGGATTCAAACCATGTGCCTTAGCATTGCTAGACAAATTCCTTACCACTAACCCACCAGAGTTTCCCTTATAAAATAACCACTAATAGCCACTAGAGAAATGATGATAGTTACAGAACAGGGTTCAAATCCTTTGTTCCTAGGGTCGCTATGAGTCATACTTGACTTGATGGCACGACAACAACAATACATAGCCATGGATTCACAAAGTCTGTGGCGAGGTCTTATTCCCCCACTACTAGCAAGATAAGTTCCAAACATCTTGACCTTGGATTAAGTGTTGTGTATTTTCACGTCTATTTAGAATTGCGATTTGAGTGAAAGTTTATGTAGCATCTTGAAGTTTTTGTTCCAATCAATCATTCATAATTATTCTGCTCCATAACATCATTTAGATGACAAAACGTCTAATTATCAATTCATTCCATACTGTCCTTCGCCATGCCCATTTTAATAAACGTTGATTGTCTATGAATTAATTTTGTAGTCCCACTACCTTCTCCTCTCTGTTAATCACACTTGATTGCTTATCACTACATGCAAACCTTTTCTCTGGCTTTTTGTAATGGTGGTCTTGTACAGTGTTTGTCCTTTTGTGACTAACTTATTTAACTTAGTGTATTGTGCATTTTTAATAAGTCAGACCTACCAGGAACTCGAGCAGGAAAAGAATCAGGAGATCCTGTTCCAGTGTCATCCTCTTCATCATCTTCAAATTCTAAATTCTCTTCTTCACCAGGTGCTAGAATTCTTCTAGGTAAAAAAAGATAGAAAGCAGAGAGCTATAAACTATATATATTTATCTGAGTTACAACTGTTGGTCTGTATTTGTCTATAACAAAAGCAAATGAAAGAAATCTAAACACAGAGAAGAAATTGGACCTTAGGGTTAACTGTTTATATGAACAACTAACTGCCTCTTCTACTTTGAGACCCCGTGGTACCTAGCTACCAAATGCAGAAAAATCCTTATAGTCTTGCTGGCATTATAAAAAGGGAAGAGGAAGAAAAGACCAAAATAGATGTCAGAAGAGATCCTGAAACTTGCACTAGAACATACAGAGGCCAAAATAAAGGGAAGAAATGCTGACATAAAAGAGTTGAACAGAAAATTTCAAAGGGAAGCTCAAGAAAACAAAGCAAAGTATTAAAAGGAAATGTGCAAAGAGCTGGAGTTAGAAAACCAAAAGGAAAGAACATGCTCAGTATGTCTCAGGATGAAAGAATTGAGTAACAAAGCCAAACCTCACATTGCAATACTGAAAGACTCTATGGGGAAAATATTGAATATTCAAAAAGCATCAAAAAATACAGAGTGTCAATGTCCCATAACAAATTGGTAGACATTGAACCATTTCAGGAAGTAGGACATTATCAAGAAATCAATGGTACTGAAGCTGCACTTTTAAGCTGCACTGAAAGTACTGTCAAAAAAAAGGCCCTAGGAATTGATGGACTACCAACTGACATGATTCTACACGCAGATGAAGTACTAGACATAATCGCTAGCCACTGCCATGAAATCTGAAAGACAGCTACCTAGCCAACTAACTGGAAGATATCTCTATTTGCTTGCATTCTTTAAAAAAAAAAAAGAAAGAAAGAACCCGACTAAAAAAACGAAACCAAAAACACAACAGAGGTAACTTAACAAAGTCACGAAAATATTGAACAATATCATTATACCACATACAAGTAAAATCTTGTAGATTTTGACTGTGTGGATCATAACAAATTATATGAGTAACACTGAAAAGAATGGTTAATTCCAAAACACATGTGAGTGCTCATGTGAACCTTACACATAGACCAAGAAGCTGTCCACATAGAACAAAGAAGTATTGCACAGTTTAAAATCAGGAAAGGTGTGTTGTCAGGGTTGTACACTATCTCTCATACCTATTCATACTTTATACTGAGCAAACCATATGAGAAGCTGGCTGATATATAAAGAATGTGACATCAGGATTACAGGAAGACTCACCAACATTCTGCAGATGACACAATGTTGCTTGCTGAGAGTGAAGAGGACTTGAGACACTCAAATGCATCAAGAAAACCAAAAATGCTCATCACTGAGCAATTAGGCATGCTCATCATGATAGATGGCCAAAAGATGCAAGTTTTCAATTATTCCATTTCACTTGAATCCACATTCAATACCCAAGATAGCAACAGTCAAGAAATCAAAAGACATGTTGCATTGAGAAAATCTGCTATCAAGGAGCTCTTTAAAGTGCTAAAGAGGAAGGAGGTTGATTTAAAGACTAAGGCCCACCTGATCCACGCTATGGTCTTTTCAATTACTTCTTGAGCATCTGAAAAAGTGGCCAATGACTAAGGATGAAAAAAATAAATCATGCCTTTGAATTGTGGTGTGGTGATGGGCAATGAATATTCCATGGACTGCCAAAAGAACAAATTTGTTCTTTAGAGGCAAGGACAGCAAAACTGTTTCACCTACTGTGGACATATTATCAGGACATATTAAAATCCTTAGAAAAAGTCATTATATAGAAATGCAGAGGTCAGAGAAGGAAAGGAAGACCCTCAATGAAAAGGACTGACACAATGTCTGTACCAATGTGCTTGAGCATATCAAGAGATCATGAGAATAGATAAGGATATGGCAAAGATCAGATCTGTTGTTCATAGTGGAGTTGTGGCTGACTCCACGACACATAACAACAATATAGAGTTAAAAAATGAGCTACAGAACGGTAAGTACATTATGTTTCCAGTTATCTAAAAAAAATATAAAACACAGAGAAATACCACATAATGTCTACATATATATATCTATGTGATAAAATTATTAAAGATGCATTCCATGGATAAGAATAAAATAGAAAACCAAGTGAAACCATCTACTAGTGAAGCCTCAGGACTTCCAATTTCCCAAGTAAGATATCTAATGCTAAGTGAAACAATAACAGCAAACAAATATCTGCAGAATAGTATAAATCAGGAGAATAAAATAAGAGAAAAAAATACGAGTGGTTATTTACTTTACCTTAATGGAACTTGTTGAACATCAAAGGGGAATTCTTTATTATATGTAAGGATATTCTTTAGGACTAGGATAAAAGAGAAAAAAATCAATTATTAATAAAATCAATAATTTTATCTTAAAATTATTTCTTTTAATCAATTTTACTAGGAATATTGATATTTTTTAGATTCCCAACCTTACCATTGTTTCAGATCTACAATGTATTTGTTCATTAAACTTGTAACAAAAAGAAAAATGTTCATCACTCACTCTTTCACTCATTGCCGTGGAGTCAGAACTGCCTCATATCTGATCCTCCAGCAGGTTTTTGGAGGCAGTAAATCATATGAGAGAAGAGTGTCCTTCTTTCTCCTGTGGAGCAGGTGGTGGATTCAAACTGTCAGAGGGGTGCCACCTTTGTATTAGCAGTGCAACTCCCTATGGACAATGCCACCAGTGCTCCATGAAAATAAATACTCTATACTTTAAAAACTAAAACCCACACCAATGTCATTGAATTAAGTCTGACTCGTAGTCATTAGGATTCTAAAGTTGTAAAACTTTAAGAGACTGTCCATCATTTTTCCAGGGGGTAGTTGCGGTTTTCAAACTGCCAACTTTTTGGTTAGCAGCATGACATGTTACACACTATACCACAGAACTCCTTATAGTATACCTCAAATAGCTGTACTCAGATCTAGAAATAGACTAAGTTTTAGAGTCTCAGGGCTTTCATGGAAAAGAAATCTCTAAATAGTTCTTCTAGCTACAGGGCTCTAGGCAAGACACAGGACACAGAGAAGAATGTCAACATCCTGGAGAAGATGACCTATCAAAAATATGTTGTTAGATGCTATCATGCTGATTATAACTCCAGAGTAACCCTATGAACAAAGATCTGAAACTTACTTTATCCTGTGCCATTCCCACTATCTCTGCCATTCTCAAGGTCATTGTTGCAATCACTTTGTCAGTCCACCTCCTGAAAGTCTTCCTGTCTTTCACTGATCTTCTACATCTTTCAGTATAATGTCTTTTCCAAGGACTAGTCCCTCTCTGACAACATTCTCAAAATATATGAGCCTATTCTTGTCTCTAAGGAGCATGCTGGTTGTACTTCCTTCAAGATTGAGTTGTTTGTTTTCTGGCAGGCCATGGCATATTCAACATTCTTTTGCAACACATAATTCAAAGGCAAACATTCTTCTTTGATTTTCCTTTTGCACTGACCAACTGTCAGATGAATAGGAAGCAACTGAAAATATAATTTCTTGGATTAGGCACACCTTATTCTTTGAACTAATGTCCTTGCTCATTAGCACTTTAAAGAGGTTTTTGACAGCAGATTTCCCCAACGCAACATCTCTTGATTTCTTGACTACTGCTTCCATGGATGTTAATTGTGGAACCATGTAAAATTAAAGGAGTGACAATTTTAAACTTTTCTCCACCTTCCATGATGTTGCCAAGTAGTCTAATAGAGAGGACTTCTGTTTCTTCATGTTGCAATGTAATCCAAACCAAAGGCTATACTATAGTCTTTGATCTTCTGCATAAGTCTTCTTCACTTTCTCCAAGTTATTCTGTGGCATCTACACATCATAAGTTTTTGATGAATCTTCCTCCAATCCTAATGTCACATTCTTCTTCACACAGCCCAGTTTCTCTAATCATTTGCTCAGTATACAGATTGAATAAGCATGAAGGGACACAACCCTCACATACTTCTCGCCTGATTTCAAACCATGCAGTATTTCCTTGTTCTGTTCAGACAGAATGTATGTATAGGTTTCCCATGAGCACAATAAAGTGTTCTGAGATTCTTCTTTTTCTCACTGTTTCCATAAGTTATTATGATCCACACATTCCAATGCCCGCATAATCAATGAAGGACAAGCAAATCTCTTTTGGGTATTCTCTGCTTTCAGCCACAAACCGTCTGACAATGATATCCTTCATTTCACAGAAATATATATATATATTACCAGCAAGACTAGCTGATCACCAGAGCTCCTCAATAAAGCCTATACTTGCAAAGTTATAATTCTCTGATTCTTTTTATGAAAAAATGTATTGAAAAAGAAATAAACAATGGCATGTAGTCAATTCTGTCTCATGGCAGCCTCATGTCTTAGAACTATGTCCCACAAGATTTTCAATGGCTGATATTTTAGCCACTGAACTGAACGTCAAGTCTTCCTTCTGAGATGGCGAATAGACTCAAACTTCCTGCATTGTGGTTAGCAGGTAAGAACATCCACTGTTTTCATCAACTAGGAACATTATTTGTATATATATGCTTCTCTGTGTGTGTGTGTGTGTGTGTGTGTGTGTGCAACTGCATGATTTTGTTGTTGCATACTGTCAAGTAGGAACCAATCCACAGCTGACCCTTCAGTCGATTTTTAGAGGCAGTAATTTGGACAGGAGAAGACTATTCATCCTTCTCTCTTGGAGTGGCTGGTGGATTCAAACACATGTTTTTGGGACTGCAGTATAGCTTCTTAGCACTAAGACCGCCAGAGCTCACACATGCACACATATATAAATATTCATTATAAAATGTATACATACACAAAGATTTAGCCTCAAGAAAACTCTTTAAACAACAAGATACCACCTCGTATAATAGTCGTTGTCAATCAATATTGTAACAATTACATCCTGGCAATACACAGTTCACTCACTCACTCTCTAGGGAGAATGGACTCATAGCTGACTCTCCAAAAGAGCAGTCTGAGGCTATAAATGTTTCCTGGGGATCCACTAATGGATTCAAACCATTAGAGAGGTATGTCCTTTGAGTTGGCAGCACAACTCCCCAATACACTACATCATCAGAGCTGCAAGTCTGGCTATCTCTGGAGAGGTACCATAAGTCTGTAATTAAATGCTCTATTTCTGGCCTGTTAGTTCCCAGTGACACCATGCAATACCAAAGTGAACCAATAGTACCAACTGGGCAATTCAAAAGTTCACATGATTCTGAACTCAGTTATACATCTTGAATTTTATAGTCCAATAGTTAAAAGGGTATGACATATTGACATCCCAAAGGAGAAAAGTCTTAGTGTAGGTTACATGTATAATATTTACTTTAACAGGAGTCATACTTGTTTATCAAACTTCTTACATGTACTTCCACTAAATTCTCTGGTAACAGAGAATTCTAGATTTGCATCTAAATTCTTCTTTATTCTTATTCTCCTCCCTCTTCCCTCTTAGTTTCTTTCTTCATTTCAACAAGTATGTGTTGACTGTTGCTAATGCTCCAACCACTGTTTTAGTGAAGAAAACAAAACAAAACAAAATTCTGCAGTGATAAAGACAGATGGGCCCCCATCCTTAAATATGGAACTTAGAAGTTAGTCAAGAAAGGCAGGCAATACATAAGCCAATAAACAAAATATAGAATACTATGGTAAGTTTTTAAGTGTACAAACAATGATTATGTAGGTGGGCTAGAAGAACTGTAGCTATGGTGTACAGGGAAATTTCTTCAAAGCTTAATTGCTGCAAGACATTTGAGCCAAGAGCAAGGATGAGAGGAACCCATTCACATGTCTCTTTGCCATCTCACGGCTGCCTACTCGGTAGTTTTCTAAGGCTATAAATCACACAGAAGAAGACTGCCCATCTTTCTCCTTCAGAGCATCTCATGGATTAAAAAAACCAGAAAAGCACATCTTCTGGGTTAGCAGTGCCATCTTTATGAACTAGGCTACCAGTGTTCTGGCAAAGGGCTTTTCAAGTATTAGAAACTAGAGTAACAAAAGCCCTGGGGCAGGAACTAGTTTGGTGTGTTCAAGGAAGGTAAGACCTGTACAGCTGAAGCTTGATAAGCAAGGAGAAAGTGGCAGAAGATACCTTAGAATACTGGAAATAAAATTCTAGTCCTATGCTGTGCTTGAGCATTCATATAACTATTCTGAATCTTAGTTCCTCCAATTCTAAAATGGGAATACAACTTTCCTCACAGACGAAATAGGAAATTAAAGAACATATATGGAATTATAAAACAAGCTTTGGTGGCTTTGTGATAAACAACTGTGCTGCCAATGCAAAAGCAGAAGTTCAAATATATCAGCTTCTCCACAGGACAAAGATGGGCAACTAAGTGCCTGTGAAAAATCACTGTAGGGTCAGCTATGAGTAGGTAAACATACTTGACAGAACACAAAAACAACATAGGAAATTCTTTGGGAAAATTTAAATTAGCAAACTAGTACATTCTTGCATTTTTAAAAGGCTCATTTCTTCCATAACTTTTCCTTTCTAGAGGACCAGAAATTTAGTCATCTTAGATCTTACTAAAAAAGCATTATTTTAAAAATCCATACCTTTTCAACCTGTATGCAGAACAGATTATCCGGGAGGCTGGGCTCTATGAGGAGAAATGTCGGGTCAAGATTGGTAGACGATCAAGATCAAGATCTGCACTATGCAGATGACACAACCCTGCTTGCTGAAACTGAGGAGGACCTGAAGCATCTGCTGCAGAGGGTCAAGGACTGCAGCCTCCAATATGGATTGAGGCTCAATGTCAAGAAGACAAAGTTTCTCACCACTGGACCAATTGGCAGCATCAGGATGGATGGTGAAGAGATTGAGATTGTTCACAGCTTTAGTTTGCTTGGCTCCACAGTCAACACTCTTGGCACCAGTAGCCAGGAAATCAAAAGGTGCATTGCCATGGGAAAGTCTGCTGTTAGGGACCTCTCCAAAGTACTGAAGAGCAATGGTGTCTCTCTGGAGACTAAGGTGTGTCTAATATGGGCCATGGTCTTCACAATCACTTGTTATGCATCAGAGAGTTGGACCAAGGAGGATGGAAGGAGAATTAATGCTTTTGAGCTGTGGTGCTGGAGAAGAGTACTGAAAGTACCATGGACTGCTAGGAAAACAAACAGATTTGTCCTGGAAAGGGTTAAACTGGGTGGCTCCTTGGAGGCAAGGATTCTGAGGCTTCATCTACCATACTTTGGACATGTGAGGAAAGACCAGTCCTTGCAGAAGGACATCATGCTTGGGAGGGTGGAGGGACAGCGCAGGAGGGGAAGGCCCTCTATGAGGTGGATTGATTCA